TGAAGAAAAGATCCAGATCCAAATCACAGGATTCTAAAAAGGCCACACCCAAGGCAAAGAGATCAACACCAAAGAAGACCTCCAAGAAGACCAAGGAAGAAGAGAAACCTAAGAAGGTATATATTTCTCTACCTTTTGCCGTGGTCACATTTGCTCCGATTTTCAGTACCTTTTCAGCGCCCGGTCGATTAGTATTTTGTTCAAAATTGCATAAACATTCATTGGCCGACGCCGATGTTGAACATCCAAGCAAATGTGACCTATGCATTAACCCAAATATCTTAAATGAATCATGGTTCGATCTTTCAAAGCATTTGTGGTCTTGATAGGCAAATAAGTGTGTTGCTCCTACATAACCAGGACCAGATACTAAAACTAAGTGTTGCCCAGAGACTAGGATTCCATCGCCATTGATAAAGAAGAAAACATTTGCCCACATATCTGAATGTTGATTTACCTTTATAATTTCAGAAGGTAGCAAAAAGGTCAGAGAAAACTACAGAAAAAACGAAGAAAACTACAACAAAAGCCAAGAAACCACCAGCTAAGAAGGCTGCTACTCCAAAAGCAAAGAAGGCAAAGAAATGAAATCACTTAAACTAGGTTTAATGTAAATAATGTAGAAATATTTATAGGGACTTGTACATAGTGTAGATGTGCGACATAGACAGATTGGACAATTAGACGGTTTTTAAAAATGATTTTATGAAGGCGTTTCAATTGGCATATTTGACCACTCTTCAGTTGTTCAATAACTTGACTTTTTTAATACCAGAGGACCTGGTAATCTACGAATACCTAGCAGGTTGGAGAGGGGTACGAGAATAAAATAACGTATTGGCTAACGTCTACAAAAAAGCATCAGTGGAATGAATGACGATTTACTCTACAGTGAAAGTGGTCATAACTTCTAGATGTTTTAAATACTTCTACAAAGGCTCACTATATGTATTACTTCTTCTATACATGAACTTTATGTTCTGGCTTCAAACATAAAAAATTAAGATTCTATATAGAATAAATTTTATTATCTGAATTGTGTCTTAAATGCATGTTGAATAATACAATGAATAAAATAATTATCTATAAAATGGGATTATGCAGACTTTATTTCCCTTTGATATATGTAAGCGCGAGTGACATTCCATTCATACTCAACTCATTCAAAATAGTGTTCCAATAACAATGTTACAAATACAAAATGGTTAGAATAAATAAATGCTCTAGATTCATTTGACACCAGCAGGTTTAAAATCCTTCAATGGTTGACTACACAGGACAGACTCGAGTGAAATCAGACTTGCGCCAAATGCAACTTCTCGGAGGATAAGAAGAACCAAGGACAAAGAGGGAGAATTCCTTTGACATTTAATTTTATTCACAGTTAAGGTGGCTTGTTATGATTTTTTAGAAGTGATAATTCATGTACAAGTTTGGTCAAATAATTAGAGTAGGAGACCTTTCCATGTAAAATAAAAAAAAATCGTGTTAGTCGGACAAATATATTTGGCATGTTCTAATCAGTGGACTGGCCCCAGGAAAAAGTGGACTGGACTCTGGGCCATCTTTTAGACATTACTTCACAAAATTACTAAAAAATGGACTTAACTCTCTATACTCCATTATGGGCCACACTTTAGGTTTTTTCTGTAAGTATTTTGACTAAAAGATGGCCTCAAGCAATACATATCTAAAATTGAATTTAACCCATCAATATCATTATCCCAGCAAATGAAGTTCGATAGGGACATCATGAAGCCCTTCGTTTGTCAAGTCCTTTTCCCAAGCACAATAAAAAATATGTTCATTTATAAAATATCTTCCTTTCAAATTAAAAAAGATGGAATTTAGACGTTTTGGCCATCAAGGGTCGAGTACAGACACACAGAACATGAGTAGCCAGATGAGTAGACAGTGTTATTTCTGATAATTTTGAGATCTCCTGAAATATAGCTTTGTTATATGCAAGAGCAGGGGCGTAGTCAGCTTTCGGTCAGGGGGGGGGGTGATCGCCAAAAAAAATTCGGTTTCAGTCGGGGGGTGGCATAATCGTGGCATGAGCAAGGCAAAACAAAAAAATAAGATTTGTTTTCAATTTTACAAAAATTAATGCAACTTTGCTCAAAATTGAACTAGAAGCTTCAAATAAAAAAGCATTTTAAAGCACTTTTCTAACACTATCTAATGGTTCTATTTTTTTTATTGGTTATGGAGGGGATGCGACCCATCACACCCCCCTCTGGCTATGGAGAGATTGTGGTACCCGTAAGCAATTCACTCACAAGGAATGGATTGGTTTCATGTAATATATTTGTTCTCTCATTAATATGCAACTGATCACCAGATGGCAGGTATTTAAATTAATCCAGTTGTTTCTTCCATTTTAACTTTTTAACAAGAACACAAACGTGTACAATATGTCCATACCAATGGGTGGTCCTAGAGTTTAGATTTTAGGTAAAAAGCAAAATGGTAACATCAGCCAGAATGCCCAAAAACCAATTTTCATACAAAGAAGCACCCCTGAAAAGTTGAATTCGATCTTTCAAATGGTTCATCTGTAAACGTGTAGATAAGTCTTTGCACACACGATTCAGGATGGAGGATCCAAAATGATCACCTTATCATTTCCCCAGAATGCTTAAAATCATCCCTGAAAATTTCAAAGTTGACATGGCAAATTGATAGTTCAGCATGTATCCAACTTTCAGTGTGATAATTTGGATCACTAGTCGAATTATAAGCAAACAAGTGAATGTCTATGATCCCTGTATGTTCATGTGTAACTCAGTAACCATGAATACCAAATAATCAATTTGAGCATCACTAGATCACAAAAAACTTCATTAAATCCAGCAGCAGAAAAAATACTTTTCTTCATGCTAACCACTGAACTATATTCATCATGTTCACAGTTCATGTACCGTGAATTTGATATCAAGTGTGGTCATTTCCATAAACATTATGAAGCATGTAAAGGACAGGTGGCGGTAAACCCCTCTTTTAGCCCCCCTAAAAAACAAGTATATATGGACATGGAATTGAAGAGGAAGTATGACTTATTACTTAAAATGTGATTTCTGAGAATTTTGACATTTGACCTTGACATTTAAGGGTGGTTTAAAGGTCAACTTTGAGAGATGCTATTTTTGTCAAAATTTTGCCGTTTTCTAATACAAGAAATGAAAGCAATTGGCTTAATTTTGATTGTGACTGATAATAAGACATGTGAATGGAAATAAAAATATTTTTAATAAATTCTCACAGGCAATTACATGAAAATCTTGAGAATAAATCCCCATATGGGCATTTTTGGGGGACTTATATGATTTCCTGTTTCGAAAATGAATGTTCTTGTTGCTTTTGAGACTCCAACAGTTTCCTAATATAAGCATGTTTTAAGAGTTGGGATGTGATTATTATTTAAAATGCCCATGGGCAATTAGGATAATATGGCTGCAATTAAATGCACACAAGGGCACTTCCATTGGATTTTTTTATTTCAATTGCTTCTCGCCAGTTTTCTAGACATGTTTGCCATATTCTAAATAGTTATAGGGTCACTTTTAATAAATGCCCATTGGCATTTGCATTGGAATTTGAAATGTCTGTATGAAGACTTAGTTTTAAAGTTATTTGCCAATTTGCTGTTCCAATATTTGAATTTTAATATGTATCATAAAATATAAATGTATACACTCAGAGGATTGCCTTAAATAATTTTTACTTATTCCCAATTTAGAAAAACACTTAGGCCATTCAAAGATTTTTTATAATTAATGTCACTAAATTCTATGTTTTCAGAAAAAAACAAATGTTCCCATGTACTCTGTACTTGTAATGCATATAAATGACAGAGGGAATTGTGATCTTGAAATATATTGTATTGAAAGAGTTACAAGATTGATTAAAAACTACATGTATATAAGCTTTTGTATTCTCTTCATTAACACGGTCATCTGAATCAAGAGGTGTTACTTGCTTTGCCACAATGTGTTATTGCATGGTTTTCACTATTAAATAATAGATAAAATCCTCTAAATAATTTTTTTTTATTTAATTTTAGACCCTTCATCAGAATGCCAACATATATTAATTCTAAATGGCCTAATCTGTACATGCAGTTATGTAGTGTACATGTATGCCCAGGTTAGCAGCCATATTGAAAACATAAACCAGTCAGCCTTATTTTCATCACAAAAGTTAGGTTTTAGTGGTGAGCCCACACTCCCACAACAGTGATATTTGCAGAGAAGCTACTTTACAGTCTCTGCATTATGCAGTTTCAATATCTTTTTTGTGGGAGTGTGGGTTGATGGTTAAATTTTCAACAAAAGGAAATGAGCACCGTGCTAAAACTTGATAACAAAGTGAACAAAAAATGACAATGTTTTCCAGATTTGCATTGGTAAACTTTATACATAGCTAGATTTTGTTAATGTTCCACTCCGAATGCGTGTATGCCATATGTTCCATATAATAAATTCTATGTAATGATAAGTTTTGATATTATTTTGATGGTAAACATAGTGTGTACCCATATTCAGACAGCCTTGTGATAGGGGTTCTTACTGCCAATTTTTCAAAGAAACTGAAAACTAATGCCACTTTTTGAAATTGCAGATCTCAAGAAAAAAGGTTTATCTACAACTTGCAATTGGTTTTAAAAGTAAATGGAAGAATGAGTTTTTTGGAAAAAGTGTAAGTTGACCATTAGTCTGTTAAATGGACCTGTTCTTTGAGATTTTAGAGATGAAGTATGTAGATATATAAGCACTAGTGCCAAAGGGAAAGGACCAAAAGTTGTAATGGAACTTAGCAAAAAAAAGCAAAATCTAAGTGCATACCAGTCAAGAAAAACAAACCCAATATATATAGCCCAAAACCATGATCTAACGTGAAAAGAAACAATGTCTAATACCCCCTTTCCCCCACCATTCAAGAATCAATATCATTTCCTAAGTGACATCTATATTATTGAGTAGAGTGAATGTTTATTCTAAATAGGGAATTCGAAGTGGCAAGACGTACATTCAGCAGTGGTAAGCATATTTTGATTTACATGCCCGAGCAAGGGGCGCCCGAGCAAGGGGCGCCCGAGCAAGGGGCTAAAAATAAAAGACTTTGAGGGCCTAGAGATATAATGCCCGAGCAAGGGGCTAAAATAAAAGGCTTTGGGGGCCTAGAGATATAAATGCCCGAGCAAGGGGCTAAAAATAAAAGGCATTGAGGGCCTAGATATAAATACCCGAGCAAGGGGCTAAAATAAAAGGCTTTGAGGGCCTAGATATAAATGCCCGAGCAAGGGGCTAAAATAAAAGGCTCCAAGGGCCTGAAAATATATGCGCAAGCAGGGGGCAAAAAATATGAACCATGAGGGGTAATGAATAAAAGGCCTTGAGAGCCTAGAGATACAGAGATATATGCCAGAGCAAGGGGCTATTAAATATAACTATGAGACAATATAAGAGGCAAATATTTGACAGAAACAAAGAAAAATAGAACATTGATGACGTGAAAAATCTTGATAACATGGCCTTATAATGAACACTGGAAATTCAACGTGTTAATAACACAGTAAAATTAGAGGTCATTATACAGTACGTTATAGTACAGTGTGACGAAAATAATGACACTCAGGTATAATCTGGTAATTGGCAATTGAATGAAAACTTGGGTTTACTCAATAGAAGGTAGGTTGAATTGTTTTGACATGACTGGATAACCTATGCAAGTGATTGGTTATGTAATGGTTTAATTCCATGTACCCTCTTGTAAACTAATTTGAAAATGACTTGAGTTTGTAACATTTGAAACTAGTGAAGTCTGATAAACAATTGGCTTCTCTTTACATCTAAAGTCCGGGAGCACTGATCTCTTAGTGGTTTTAACCATGTGGACTTCGGATGTGAGAGTTGTCTCTCCACAGTAGGAGGTAATTTGCAATTGAGGTTAATTACTCATGTTAGGGGACTGATTTTCCCCACCAGTAATTCATGAATGAAACATTGATATGAGGTCAATTTTAGGTTTTATTAGCTTCATAATTACATCATGGAAAACCATCTACTAGAACTACTATACTGGGAGAGATTGCTCTCAAA